ACTGTGAAGATTCCTGCCAATGTCTGGGTCACAACTACATTGGTAGCGGACTTGAATAGGGCATTCTAGGCTCCTGTTGGAAACAGGGAAACCATATATTGCCCGGCATTCTGAATTGCCCTATACAAATTATAACTGTCAGAATAAAGCTAGTGATGCATTGACAAGTGCTGCCATGCTATTTACATTATTAGGTCTTGGAAATGTAGAAAAGCTAATACAGCATTACACATATCTGACTGATTGTACACTACCAAAAGGGGATAAAAGTATTATCCGGTACCAGAATCCTTCATGGAATTACAAACAGTTGGAACGCAGTGAAGCTAGGATTTAGGTACAAAGGCATACAATTTTTTCAATTTGTCTTCAGAATGTGATCACAAGCTGGATAGACACCAGATTTGTGATCCCTTCCACTCTATGGAACAGGTACTGTTAACCAATCCATGCCCTCAGACTTTGAGCGATAAGTTTGCAGATTGTTATTCTCAACTAAATTGGAGAATTGTTAATCTAGTTTTTGTTTTTAGAATATGGGTAATTGAAAATGAAGGGATGCTAGTATGGTGGAGACGTTCATCCTTCTAGAGTGTGGATTTCACACTGAGAAGACAAGATTCCAAGTGCTATCATTTTCAACAATGGGGAAAGCATATCCCTTAATAACGAGAATTCCTTAAAAACTATTAGAGCAATCAGCTCAGGAAGTAAGTATGAGACCAACCTGGCAACTATCTACTCCTCCTTCTAAATTTCCTGCACAGATCATGGTGTCATCAATGACGCCAGCATAAGATGTTGCACTATTGCAGCTTCGTTGAGAGATTAGTTTTACAGATGCTTCCAATAAATATTGTGAACCGTTCCCTGTAAAGAGCAAAATGCATGAGTATTAAGTTCTTAGCATAGAAATTTAACTTTACAAAGAAAGAAAATCGAATTACCAGAATAGATTTGCTAACCTGCTTCAGTTACACCCCATCCTGAAATGTAACACGCTGAGTTGAGAGGTAACTCAACATCCGGCAAACATGCTGCTCGAACATACTTTGTCTCCTTGCTGCACTCTCCTCCAACACTTTGCAATTTCATTAAGGCTGAAATACAAGTATTGAATTAATTCAGGATTTTCATGCATAAAATCACAATTAATTTGGATATATTTGCTCTTTTAAGCTATTTGTAATGTTGGCAAAAAATCCTTTCAAATGCATTACACAACATCCAGAGCAACTAGGATGCTATTGCTGATGCTTAATTTTGAAATAACATTTTGAAATGAAAAGTTCCTGAGGGGACTTGATAGAATGGCTAAAGGGTGATGAGAGCCTAGAACCAGTGGACACAATTTAAGAATAAATGGTCTCCCTCTTAAGATGAAGATAATACTTGTGTCTCCAAGGATTTGTGGAATTCTTTTCTCCAGAAAATAGTGAAGGTGTGTTATTAATTTATTCAAGGCAGAGTTAGATGAATTTTTGATAGGCAAGAGAGTCAGAAGCTATGTGCGCAGACAGAAAAGGGTGATTGAGACTGGATTTAACCATGAGCAGACCTATAGGGCCAAAAGGCCTAAATCATCTCCTAGGTTCTATGTTCCTCTGTTCTGAAACAGGCAAAATGATTTTAAAGGTAGTAAATTGAAAGATTCAGGAAAATAACCACGTACCTATTGTGGAAATCACTGATAATATTGAAAATCATTTAGTGAACCTGTCTCCCTGACTGGAACTTTGCTTTCTTATGCTGGCGAGTTGATGAGACCATGATCTGTGCAGGAAATTTAGAAGGAGGAGTAGATAGTTGCCAGGTTGGTCTCATACTTAATTCCTGAGCTGATTGCTCTAATAATTTTTAAGGAATTCTCATTATTAAGGGATATGCTCGCCTCATTGTTGAAAATGATAGCACTTGGAAACTTGCCTTCTCAGTGTGAAATCCACACTCTAGAAGGATGAACGTCTCCACCATACTAGCATCCCTTCATTTTCAATTACCCATGTTCTTAGAACAAAAACTAGATTAACAATTCTCCAATTTAGTTGAGAATAACAATCTGCAAAATTATCACTCAAAGTCTGAGGGCACGGATTGGTTAACAGTGCCTGTTCCATAGAGTGGAAGGTATCACAAATCTGGTGTCTATCCATAAGAACATAAGAACATAAGAACTAGGAGCAGGAGTAGGCCGTCTGGCCCTTCGAGCCTGCTCCGCCATTCAATAAGATCATGGCTGATCCTTTCGTGGACTCAGATCCACTTACCCGCGTTCTCACCGTATCCCTTAATTCCTTTATTGTTCAAAAAAAATCTGCTTTTTTTAAAAAACATTTACTGAAGTAGCGTCAACTACTTCACTGGGCAAGGAATTCCATAGATTAACAACCCTCTGGATGAAGAAATTCCTTCTCAGTTCAGTCCTAAATCTGCTCCCTCTAATCTTGAGGTGATGCCCTCTTGTCCTAGCTTCACCTGCCAGTGGAAACATCCTCTCTACTTCTATCTTATCTATGCCCTTCATAATTTTATATGTTTCTATAAGATCCCCCCTCAATCTTCTGAATTCCAATGAATATAATCCCAATCTACTCAGTCTCTCCTCATAAGCCAACCCCCTCAACTACGGAATCAACCTAGTGAACCTCCTTTGCACCCCCTCCAGTGCCAGTACATCCAGCTTGTGATCACATTCTGAAGACAAATTGAAAAAATTGTATGCCTTTGTACCTAAATCCTAGCTTCACTGCGTTCCAACTGTTTATAATTCCATGATGGATTCTGGTACCGGATAATACTTTTATCCCCTTTTGGTAGTGTACAATCAGTCAGCTATGTGTAATGCTGTATTAGCTTTTCTACATTTCCAAGACCTAATAATGTAAATAGCATGGCAGCACTTGTCAATGCATCACTAGCTTTATTCTGACAGTTATAATTTGTATAGGGCAATTCAGAATGCTGGGCAATATATGGTTTCCCTGTTTCCAACAGGAGCCTAGAATGCCCTATTCAAGTCTGCTACCAATGTAGTTGTGACCCAGACATTGGCAGGAATCTTCACAGT